TATGTAAGAACACAGATGGAAAACTCTGTTGCAACAACACAACTAAAACTGTTTCTATGTATAAGCTAGAGTCAGTTCATGTAGCACAGCTAGCTGCTACGGGAAGTTTGAAAGTTAATGTTTAAAACTCCAAAAAGTTGAGTTATTGTGTATGATTTTTTTTTTCTTAAGCTACTTTTGATGTGTGTCTGTAATCATTATCCTTTGAACTGGTTGACCACTGGTCTAACCTAAACTCCACACAGAATTTATCTTGTTAAATGTCATAATTTACCAATATTAATTATGATACCATTGAATTATATCACTCTGTGTTCACTGAAAATACATAATTTGGCTGACATGAACCGGTATTCCCGTAACATTGACAAGATGCCACCTGTGAATCATTCTGGCGGATTTGTCAGCAACTAACCAGTCGGAGGTCGGGATTTGTCCCTAAGTACACGCCCCTTAGATGGAGGAACTGAACCTTTAACGCTAACGCACTGCGGACTGAAGATTTAGAGGGAAATAAAAGGAAGTCATAGTTACACATTGACGGTGGGGAACATGAAATCTCGACAGCCCGTACCCAGAGTGTGTGGAGGGCGGAAGACAATTTATTAAATTTCCAAAAACCCAAACAGAGTCTGGAATAATGCAAGGAATGGAGCAAGGCCTGCAGCCGAATGCAGGTCTTGCTCCATTTCAGGTGCAGTTGAATGAAACTGGAATCAACGGGAACTACCACATGTTCGGCTGCAAGAATGTAACCGGTAGTAAACATCCTTTTCTTTTTCTTTTTTGTCATAATGACAATTATTGATAGTCAAATGGAAGCTCCACAACTGAACGTAGTTATGATTGATTTTATAAACGTAAATTCTAATTTTACCCCTACGGCAGCATGAAAACATGAACTGCAGTAACTGCAGGATTTACATAGAAGCACCTTTTTATGCTAATGTTTATTTTTCACAAGCCTGTCTTATTTAAGTCGTTACTCACACGATTTTGCAAAATGCATCAAGACTTTGTGCCGCTCTTTCTTCCTCTGGCTGCAAAAGACATGGGCTTTAACATTGGTTTCTCTGTTTCCAGAAAATAACCTTACAGACTAGTTGGATAATTTTATTGCCTGTTTTTGTGCTGACTGATGAGGCAAAAATGACTCAAAAATTGTCTTGGGTACGGCCACTATGTCTGCCTTTAGCACCGTTTGTTTGTCAGAGGTTTGCTTTACTTTCATATGGGGTGGAGCCGGCGTCATGTCACTTGAAAGATTTGATCTCAAATTGCATTTCGCAGAAGTGGAACACATAATTTATGTAAATACATAAAGCATTTCTGAATTTGAATCAAAAATGTCAAGCCAATGAAGTTTACAACCTCCAAAAGAAAATAGATACAATAGTGACAGTGCATGATACTCCAACAGAACAGTTTTTGTTGTTTTTTTCCCCCACTTGTCTGACAAGATAGCTGATTTTCTCTGCATGCAACCTGTTTGCACATGTACAGGCGATGGACATTTGAACACTATTGTCAATGACAATCACACAAATTATGCAACTGCACACAAACTCTCCCAAACAGTCAGGCAAGACTTTGGTTGAGTGACTGTTTGTCTAGGAAGAGGGATATTATTGTCTGTCTCTCCCATTTGCCTTCCGAGTGCACTTTTCAAGGTGCAGGGCTTGGTATCTCCATAGAAACAGCAAAGCGACCAGGAGTGAGGGGAGAGAGAAGAAGGTGGGCGGTGGGGGGGGGGGTGGATTTAGGCGTGGGCAGGGAACATGGGAGGACGTTTTTAGGCACGTGGGGGGCGGCTGGTCTTCTGGTTTTCAGACAGACGAACAGGGCACAGAGACTTGGGAACACGGTGACATTTGTGTCGTGACAGCAGAAAATAAAAGTGAAAAGGGAGTGGCTTTCTCTGGAAGGGTTTCTGTGTGCATCTTTAGTGACATCTTTGCCTGCGTGCTCCTGAACAACCTTGAGGAGAACTGTTCTCTCAGAGCCCAGGTATAATCCTGATTCTTGGTGAAGGCTGACCTCTCGCTGTAAGTCACACACCCCCCTTGCTGGTCAGCGTTTGTGAGGCACAGACCTCCAGGTATTACTGGATTGTGTTTACATGTCCATGTGTCCACGATGGCCCAGAACTGTCCGCCTCTGTAGATTCTTCTTTTCCTTCTCATTTTTTTTCTTTAATTTGACCTTTATTCTACTGCAGTCACTTTTGGCTGTCTCTTTGTCTTGGTTTGACAAAAAAACTCAAAATGCTTTAGAGAGCAAATTTCTCTTGAATTGTTGTTCCTCTCCTGACTCGTCACATCTGTCTGAAGGCAATTTTTCGTTATACCCAGGTTGGATGACTTTTCTCAAACTGCAATTGTAAGGAAACAGCAAGTTAATTAGTGACAATGTTATTTATAATTTATGGCCAGATAGAAAAAACTGCGATTGTAAGTTAGAAGAAACTCTTTTTTCAATTTATCAGTGTTTTGTTTCGCCTGCTAAAGATATTCTCACCCTTGACACTTTTTCATATTACTTTTATGTTACAACCAGAAATATCAAATACGTTTCATTAGGTTTTTAAGGATTTTGTAAAGATGCTTAACAAATACAACTGGAAAGTTTACATTAGGAGATGGATGTAAAAAGTGAGAACAATAAAAATAACTTTAGAGATGGAGATACAGGAGCAGAAGAAAAATCTCACTGAGTGCACTCACTTCACAAATTGAATACCGGTTACTGGTTTGCAAATAACAAAATGTGATTAAATTTTCAAACAGGAAAACATGAAATTCAAAAAACACAACTATCTATGATTGATATTTTGAAGGATTTGTTTCTCTTAAGATAATTGTGTGCCTCATTTGAACTCTTATCCTAATTTATTAAATGTAATATGATTGTTTATCACTAACCTGTGCTCTTTATGTTACAAAAAGCTAAATAATAATCTGATTAATGTATGCAGAAGCAATTAGATTGCATTTGTCCCCAACGTATCTTATAGAAATGAAGCCCTAGGCGAAAATTCAACCTGTAAGACTCTTGGCATCACCTATCACCACGCCTTCACCCCAGCCAATCAGGACGCACCACCTCTCTACCTCGATCCAATCAACTGGCAAGAGCTCCTTCAAAAAGGCGAAGCAACCCGCTTCAGCTGTGTTTCAACCCACATCCTCCTCGTTTCCACCATCAGTCTCCTAGACGCCTCCAGGTCCCATCAAGACTCCTCTCTCCAAGCTCCGCTCCACCACCAGTGACCGGGCCCGGGGGAAGACCTACCTGAGCTTCGTTCGAGCCGATCATTCAAGCTCGCTGCGATTCTCGGCACGCACGTCTTCCGCCGGTGTCCGAGCGCCAAATTCTCGGTCCAGTAAAATTGTCTAACTGCTGCTTCTCTGTCTGTTTGAGTCTCTACAAATTGAATTGTATTTAATTCTGTTGCTAACTTGAGCTAAACTTAAATTTGTCAAAAAGCCTAACTAAGCGTTCTACCTTAAAATTATACCTGCCTTTTAATATTTCTTTATTTTAGTACCGTTTGCAGGATATGAGTATTTTTATAATTAGAATTGAGGATTAATGAAGGACTGCTACACTAGCTCTGTAATTTAGAACGACAAAATTTAATATGTTTATCCTAACTGCATCTCTATATTTCCTGAATGTGTATTATTGTTATAATAAAGAATATAAAAGTTTATGTTTCAATGTCAAAATGAAGTTGTGTTTTTGTTAATGAACATAATTACTTATGAATGAGACTATTTTTTAGCTGACTTAAGTGTATATTAAATGTAAAATATAAAAGGAGACCAAAACATGTTCCCCAAACGAGACAAATAAAAATTACATAATAATAATAATAATTAATTAATAATAATTCTGAGATCATAATGATGAGTGATACAAATGATGGCGAAAATCAATGAGCTCTGCAGGCTGAAGATAAATCCAGGCTGGATTTTCAGATGGCATATTTTAGATATGTTGATAACAGATATGTTTATTGGTAATATGTTATTGGATCATACGTTTTGTAGTTAATCTATTTTAGTGTTCAACTATTTGTTTAAAATACAGAAGGCTTGCATTCTTAACCAACCCTTTCACACTTTTCTCATGTTTAGCCCATTACCTGGTTGCATTTTTACTGAGATTTGATGCGATAGACCAACATATATTATTACAAAGTCCAAAAGTAGTTATACAGGTTTAAATTTCTCTTTACAATAAAAATATTCAAAAAAAAAATACTCTTTGGCTCCTGTAAAAAGTCTACATGGCTAAAACGGTACATCTGTTATCCCATTGTGAAACACTGTGATGACAGCGGATGATTTTTCATCGGGATGCTAAGACAGTGAGTTGAGTGAAGCTAAACACAGAGCAATGATGGGAGAAATCATGTTAGAGGCTGCAACAGACTTGAGTCTGGGAATACCATTTGCCTTCTAGGGACAACTGCAAGCATACAGACAGAGCAGCAACTTAATGGGACGGAGCTCAGATTACCCAAGTGTTAGGAACTTCTTGTCAAAACCTAAAAATAAATTAAGAATCGGTTTCAAGGCTGGCAAATTGTTGTTCACGCTCCCCATCCAGTCACTGTGAATTTCATCTATAAAATATTGAGAGAAATTTAGTCTCTGGGGTGTGTCTCTGGCGGGTAAACACGTGGCCTGAAACACTTTCAGAAGCGACTTCAGTGAATGGTGGCTCCACAAAGTTATGACTTTATTCTGCTTTCCTAGGAAAACTAAAGAAAAGCTTCCCTGCAGCATGATGCTGCCATTGCCAACTTTCATTGTGGTTATGGTGTGGTTATTAGTGTTAGATGGGTTGCACTGGATTTTATCAGTATTATAGTGACAGAAGCTGAAACCACTGCACACTTTACAGGAAGATGTATGCTTTATTAAAAAAAAGAAGAAGAAAAACTTAAAAATTTTCTTCAAATACGGATTTACTTTGTGTTACTCCATTACATCCAACTATGAAATGTTCACAAAATATGGGGACACTAATAGTTTTTTGCTCGTGTCTGTTGTCTGAATTATAATGCACATCTGTGTTCAAGAGTTTAGTAGTCAACAAGGGTAAATGATGTGCTAAATGAGGGCAACGCATGCTAGGAAGGACTGGAAGGAGCTCTCCTGTCTCTGCCTGTAAATTGGACCCTTGGGTCCTGCAAATACCCAGCACGTTTCCCGCAGGGGGCCGCTAGGGGCGCTGGTGCTCAGCCAGTCCAGGACGGCTAGCTGAATATTCAAAGTTTATGAAAAGGCTTGCAGCATATCGGGGACCGCTGGAGCGGAGCGCTGAACTGTAGTTATGAACCTGGAAAGAGTGGCCAAGTTGTAAAAAAAAAAAAAAAAAAAAAAAAAGACTTTTAGGCCGAGGCCCCTCTCGCGCTGGAGGTGTGATGAAGCAGCGAGCTGTCAGCGGGCCTGTCTGTCAGTGGGCCAGCGCTCCGTGAAACATCTCCCCATCTCACACACTTACACACACGGGCTGTGGGTGGGAGCTCAGTGCCCGGTGCGAGTGTCAAGGCGGCAGGGGAGGAGGGAGAGCGAGAGGGAGACGTGGAGCGGAAAGAAAAGGAAGAATTGAGCGAGAGAGGGGAGAGAGTGAGAGACCTCGACTGAAAGAAGGAGAGCGAGAGAGCAAAGCGAGAGAGAGAGTGAGAGAGAGAGACCGAGGGAAAGAGAGAGAGAGAGAGGAGGAGAGCTCCGTCTTTCCCGGTGCACTTGGCAGTCTAGTTGCGGGCTGCTGTGCTGTTGCTGTCGTGGCGTGGCTGGTCGCGCCAGGCGGGGGAACTTCACCACACTGGAGCCCGGAGTCCCACTCTCTCACCTGCGCAGTTCGGAGCTGCCATGGCTCTCTCGCCAGGATTGACTGTCCTAATTATTCTGCCGGCCTTCCTGCTGCACACCAGCGGCCTTTACATCGCCAGTAGCGTTGGTGAGTACAGTACAGCCAAACGTGGCCAGTGTTTATACTCCGTATCTGATCTCATCTCTCATCAGCGGGGCTCCTCTGAGCGCTCCCCGGAACTCCGCTCCAAACTGTCCGGTTTTCTCATGCTTGCTTCCTCTTAGACCTGCCTTTTCAGCTTCTTCCCCCAAAATAACACAATTTGCAACTTCTGTGCGTCCTGCTGTTGTGCGCGTACTTTCCGAGGGTCCGTTGGCGGTGCAACTGCAAGCAGTGTTGTGATTTGCTCTCTTCCTCCTCCCCCTCGCTCCCATCCATTCACTGGATTAAATTCTTCTTTTAGAGAAGCACCAGATTTACCGATCACACTGTCGGGTTTTGCAGGGGAAGTAGCCGTAACGTTATCTGATTCGGCCGCTGTCGCATCTATCGATCTGTGACAGGACGCATGGAGTCGGATGTCAGCCTATTGATTACACTATTATCAAATCGTTCCCCAAACATAGAGAGGTCCGAGAGGGATTAAGAGAGTGCGCTTGATTTTTATCAGTCAGCAAACTTTATGCATTTAGACTTGATGAGTGCGCCGGAGAGATGCATGTAAGGAGGTGACACACCTGACTCCTGGATCAACACTGGCACCATGAAACGGCCTTGGCTCACGGTGTTTGCGTGTGTATCAGTAGGTGTGGGAGCATCTCTGTAATGCACCTGTAAGGTGTAAGGTCACCGTTACGTGCGAACCACATATAATAACATAAGAGCATCTGGAATTTATTCAAAGTAACGCTTTTAAAATGCAAACTATTTATTATAAGAAATATGTTACGTGTCTGAAATATTAGGTCGGTTTAATACCGTGTTTGCACGAATGCTTTCCCTCCTCCTCCTCCTTCTCCTTCTTCTTCTTTTTTTTTAAGTCGGGCAGTTTGACAGTGATGAAGCAGCGTGAGAAAGCTGCAATTAGCACCTTGATCTTGCTCCGGGTTTCCTGTTGTCGGTGGAAGGGCACAGAAGGTGTCAGCAGCGCAGCGCTCACTGCTGAGGCTGCCGTTTCCAAATGCACGCAACCCGAGCGTCGGGGTCGCCTCTGGGTGCATGGGTGGGGTCTGCTCCTGTGTCTGTATGGAAGGGGTACAATCGGAGGGGATTATGATATGATCATTTGGGAGTGGGGGTTCAAGCCCCTCCCCTCCTACCACCCCCAAAGTATGAGCAGAGCCTCTTTCAAAAGTATTCACGCCCCCTGAACCTTTTCACACTTTGTCAAATTGCAACCTAAAATTTAAATGCATTGTACTGGGGGCTTTGTAAGGCAAATGAAAAGTAACGCATGGTTGTAAATTGGATGGAATATGAAACATGGTTTTGTACATTTCTTCTTACTAGAAACGTGTGCCATGCATTTGTAATCAGCCCTCTTCATATTTGTGCTGCAATTATTGCTGTAAATCCTTTGTGCTACTACATTCTATCTATCTATCTATCTATCTATCTATCTATCTATCTATCTATCTATCTATCTATCTATCTGTCTGTCTGTCTGTCTGTCTGTCTGTCTGTCTGTCTGTCTGTCTGTCTGTCTGTCTGTCTGTCTGTCTTTGCAAAATAGCTGAAACTATAAACAAGACATTTTCAAGTCTTTCCATGAATCCTCAATTGGATTTATGTCTGGACTTTGACTAGGCCTTTCTTAAAAAATAAAAATAAATGAATGTCCTATGACCCACTTTTCATTGTGGCTCTAGGTTAGAACAATGTCTTACCTGAGATTGAATCTCCTGTGCAGACTCAAGTCCTGTTTTGGCCTTTTTTCAGCTTTTCTTCCAGGACTGCCCTTAAAGTTCCAGCCATTTTGCCCATCAACACTGACCAGCTTCCCAAAAATGTCACTGCTGAAGAATAGCGTCTGCATGACTCTGCCAACGCCTTGCTTTCATGTGGGGATGATGTGTTTTCAGCATGACGAAGCAGATTTCGTGTTCCGCTAGTGTTTGGTATACAGGCCAGAAAGTCCAGTTTTCAACTCGAGCACCTTTGACTATGTGCTAGCGGTGTACCCTAAATTACTAGTTACAAAAGTGTAAGTAGTGTGGTTTCTTTTGACCTTTTCTTTTTTAGCATTGGATTTCTGCACTCTTTTATACATTGCAGTTTGTTTCCCTCACCTGAGCTATGAAACTCTGCAGCTCCTCTATTACTTCAAGCCTCTTGATTAATGGTCTTCTCACTCTTAGATCTTAGTGATTCTGTTTATTCACCAAAGTTGTCTAACAAATCTGTGAGGCATTCACAGAGCAGCTGGCTTTATTCAAACATTTCATGACACACAGATGGACTTTGTTTCCTTATAAAAGTCAGATCCACTTGGTTTTATGTCGGGGGATCAGAGTAAGCCCACAACCATTTTGTTTAATTTTCCGTTTAAAACAATTTAAATTATGCAACACTTTGTTTTGCTATGCTATGTGAAATCACAATAAGCTACACTGAAGTTTGTGGTTATAACACAACTAAATTTGAACAAGTTCAAGATTTATGAGTTACAGGCATTTTCTTAAGCTAATGTCTAATCTTGTAGGTCTTGTTTAAATGTAATGTAAGGTATGTAGATCACCATGATTCATATCTAGTTCAGCAAATTAAAGGGCATAAACTGCAAATTAATATCAGACCTAATCTGTATGACACCTGCAAACTCTCCATGTGTAAAAATTGGAAGACCTTCAACATACAGTGTGTTGAGAGTCTGTCTACAGAAAAGAGGAGACTGCCATAACACCAAAAAAAAAAACTTTAAAAAAATCAACGAGATAAAGAGGAAGATGCTCTCTGCACACTTTTACAACACCTCTCTTTCTCTATGTCATTAAAAATATGACATCGAGTAATTTCATCTGGCAGAGGATTTCTAGAGACTTAAAATAAAAAAATCTTCATCTTTCAGTTTAACAACAATGAAAAATGTGCATGTAAAATTAACATAATACAACTTTTAATAGTTAAAAGCTTGATCTTAAGTGTTATAGTTTTCTATAGAACTCCAAATAGTAGCTAATTGGATCGATAACGTTGGGAGATAAACAGCGGCTCCAGAAATGATTGTGAATTAGTGTGAGGTGAATAAACTTGCAGATTCTCAGCCGTCGCATCGATTGATGCACCTTTTGTCAAAACCCTTTCTCTGTTATAATCTGTTGGACTTTGAGTTGAGCTTGATCGTTTTGGTTTCAGAATCTTGTGTTTCCTTTTATTCCTCTGTTTTTGGTTACTAGTCTTACTCTTTTATTTCAGTGCCTGAGTCACCTATTCTCTCATATCTGTTCCCATCTGTTCATTCCCTCATCTGTGGAGCATCAAAGTGCCCAATATAAATACTTCTTGGTTCAGGTACTCCATGTCAGACCCTCTGTTGTTCGCACCCTGCTGTTTACAGTCTGTTCATGGCTAATAAGTTCTGGTAATTGAAGTCATCTTTATTTCCACAATGCTTCTGCTATCCTAGTTTCTGCAAGTGGATCCTCAGCTCCACCCAAAACATAACAGTGTACAATTCCATAATTTCTACCTTTGTAACTTTTGTTGTTTGATTTCTTACTTTTTTCTTACTTTTCCCTATGACTTTTTTCTTACTGTTCTTCCCTCTCCTCTTCACCCAATAACATTCTTTACGTCTTCCTTCCGGATTGATCCGCTAATCCAACGCTGCTTTCCCTCTTTCCCAGACTCCCTGCAGCACATCCTGGGGGACTATGGACTGGTAATGCCGATCAGTGTGGATGCAGAGGGCCGCTTTCTGTCACATGCCGTCTCGGCTGGTCGCGTGGCAGCGGGGCAGTCCCGTAGGCGCCGGAAGAGGGAGGTAGGAGAAGGCAACGATGAGTGGGAAGGACCTAGAGGAGCCGAGGAGAACGGAGAGTACCACGCCGGTCAGGAGAGGCTTTACTACAACGTCACCGTCTTCGGCCGGGAGTTCCACCTTCGCCTGCGCCACAACGCCAGGCTGGTGGCCCCCGGAGCCAAGATGGAGTGGCACGACGACAGTGACAGCATTCGGTACTCTGAGCCCCTGCATGACGAGTGCCTGTACGTGGGGGACATCACAGACACACCGGGAGGCACCGTGGCTCTCAGCAACTGTGACGGACTGGTGAGTGGACAAGCAGCTGCACGTGTGTGACGAGTGGGATGTGGGGCTCGCCACGAAAGCATCTGGCAAAACACGAGGTGACACAGGAGAGCGCAAAACCCATCCAAATGGATTGGGTTACTCTAGGGCTGCACAATACATCACAAGTATATCATTAAAACAGCAACAGGACGACAGAGAGATAAGGTGATCAAGTCATTTAGGAACCACAGCTATCCTGTGTCAAGGCCAAAACGGCAGATGTTGTCTGGAAGGAACTTTTTCAATAAAACCTTCTTCTTTAAATCTAAATAATATTTTATGTTTTCCAGTAGCTGAATTGCACACTCATTATTTAGGGACATTAACATGTAATTAATCTTTTTATTACTTTTTATTAATTATTCATCTCAAGTCATATAGTTATCACATCATTCACCGATATTACTGCATCTTGCATGTTTTTCTAGGTTTCTCTATGGTGTGAGCTCCTTCTCCTGTCACATCCACTCCTTACAACTCTAGACCTGCCGTGAGATAAAGCTGAATCATGTTTTAGTCTCTTCATAGTCTCCTCAATATACTGAAGGGGTTTTCAAAGGAGTACATCAATATTTCTCTAATAATCTCATAAACAGGTATGAGGTTCTTACAGTTTGATCACTTTGAGCATCATTAAAGTGATAATGCTCACTTTATTAAATTAATGCATAATGGTTTGCTGGGATCTTGATATGTCTTAAGGATTTTAAGCATTTTTTTTTAACATCCTGTCGTGTTTTTTGATGCCCTCCTGCTTTGAATACTGTGTGTGAGTTGGAATCGAAGATGTGGAGCGTTAACCTGCATCAGGGCATTTCTTTTGCTGCTTTGTATTTTTCACACATTTTAGCATCAACTGTTTGATCCACCCTGGAATGAAATTTGAATGTTCTTTGTTTGCCGTCTAGTGGTCAGATGATTTATGTGAACTACTCAGAAAGTAGGTCATGTCGTCAGTTTAACTTTCAGTTTTAGTGACAGAAGTTTTGCATAGTCCTGAATGAGATTACATGATTTTTTTTTTCTTTATTGGGCCTTTGGTGCCATGTTTCAGTAGCAGTTGTGTAATTACTGTAACAGTGGCACATACTTGCAATATACATGGTGTATCTGTGTGATGGGATTTTCAAAAATTGAACTAGTGATCAAATGCGTCAGAAATCGATGTTGAGCTGTCTAGCATGCCTTTCTAGACAACTGAAATGCAAGAACAAATATGAAATAGTGTGGTGGGAGCATTAACAAAAGTGATGGGTGACACTTTTTTAATTCCTTCGCTTTGACTGTCCATGTTTCTGTGTGACCAGAAATATGTCCAAAAAGCAGAACTTGTCTTCCATGATTAAAAACATTAAAACGTTAAAAACAAATAGTCTTGTTTCAGCCAGATAACTGGTGGTAACAGGTGGGAGAGAGACAATAATGTATTCCTCTACCCTCCAAATTATAGTGTTGAATCCAACAAAAATGAAGGAATTAAAAGATTTACCCAATTTATGCGTCAGAAATGCTAGGACGCATAAATTGGGTAAATAATTAGGGGGGAAAAAAAGAGTGAATGAGAAAATATGCAGTCTCAGCTTTTTGAGTTGTATTTGGCTTCATTTCGATGCAAGCAGAGAGAGCGGACCAATAATGATCAATCCAACAACACTCAGGATTTAAACTGCCCCCATGAAATGTTTTGTTGCCCAACAGTTGCTCAAATAACTTTTAATAGATGGAAGGAGAAAAAAAAAGGAAGGATATGGCAAACTGTTGGTGAATGACTGTCAGTGAGGGAGTGAAGTGAGATGTACACAGTGTGAAGACTGTGCACAGGAACTGAGATGAGAAGATGAGGAGAGACAGACCCAGTGCTAAAGGAAGAGGTGGAAGGGACGACTGTACGAGATGAGCCTAAGGCAGTGCAGGAGGAAAAAGGAAGGTAAATATGGAAGCAATATGCAAAAAAAAAAAAAAAAAAAAGGGGGATATGTACAGGAAGGGTTGAGTTTGGGGGGGGGGGGGGGGGGGGGGGGGGCC